AGCCAGAGAAGCGCCAGGGATCTGGAAATCTCAACCTTTGCAGGTAGAAGCTACTCAAAACAGGTGTCGCTTCAATAATCTGCGTTGAGGACGGTATTGGCATTGTGGTAGAACCCAATCTAGCTTACAGAATCATTGGATGGAAGCCTTACTGCGGAATAGTAACAATTCTCCGATTGAAGCTACAACAGGTCAAAGAGTTGACCTTGTTACAAGTCTATGAGCACAGTCTGAAAGGAGAATATAAGGCCTTAACTGAGAAAGCACAAAGCGCACTGTGCGAAATACTGATTATACGCCCTTCATTTTAATGGGCGATTTGAATGCGCGTCGGAGCAGTCACTGAAAAGTGAAAAGGTGTGATCAGAAAGAACGGCCCTAGTGATCTTAACAGTAACGGCACGACACTGTTGTTTTGTGCAAACAATGAACTGTATGTTACGAGCATCTTCTTCGAGCATCGAAGCGTCATTATGCTTGACATAGGGAAGCTTGTGCACAAAAGTCGATGATCAGTCTCATATCGTATCGTCTGACTTAACGATGTTCTGTAACAGATGCTCCTTAAGAGAGCTGCAGAACTGCTATCAAGCGATCATCACCTTATCGTTGGCAAGCTACGCTGTGAAAAATGGAGGATTACGCAATGATCTGGTGATAGAAGCAACCAGAGAATTAAATTGGAAACATTATCTTCCACGGTATGAGAGCGAAACTTGCAAACAGCATCGCACGACGGTTTTAACAGATCGGTAATGACCGCTGATGTGAACACCGAGTGCAAGCTCTTTAAAAGCGGCTTAATAGGGGCTACCGCTGAATGCTACGGTTTCAAACCGATTGACCTCCAACCAGGAGGTCAGAAATGTAGGTGCTGGTGGTGGACACATTCATCTGGCTGTCGCCGACAAGGCTGCATTCAAGAAATGAATTGGAAGCAAAGAGCCTTCAATTACCATGCACTATGCAAAAGCGCCCAAGGGGGCAGCAAAAAAAGTGACGAAACCCAAAGCTGGTTCCTGGGAGAATTTTCGTGAGGTATTGGAATCGCATTTCCAGACGGTAAACAAGGTATTCTGGTAGACCATTCATAGCCTCCATGGCGAAAAAAATAGCAGTCTAACAATCCTGAAGGACCAGTCTGGACACCTTCTTATCGAGTCGAGGATGAGAAACATTTTTCAATGATGGAGAGTACCATGAAGAACTCTTCAACACCGAGCAACCGCAAGACTCGCCTGAAGAGCGACAGAGAACGAATATAAGTTTCTCTGAAAATGAAATCACACAAGCTGTGAAAACCTGAAATGTGCAAAGAATTCTGGAATCAATGAAATCTGAAGTTAAATTTATAAAGCATTAGATGAAAAGGGCAGATACAGACTTGCACGTGTCTGTCAAACTCCAATGGCTACGAGAAAGACATCAGTGAACTGAAGGATAGAGACTGTGGTACCAATGTTCCAGAAAGGAGACTCTACGGAGTGCTCCAATTATCGGTGTATTACTCTATTGAACCTCTCGGGGAAAAAGCCACGCAAAGGTCCTAAAAACATGCCAAGGAATAAATGACTCAAAAATACAAGTGAAATGTGGCTTCCAGCCTGGCGAAGCACACCTAACCAAATATTCGCTCCACGCCAGATTACTGAGAAATCGCGATGTTCGCTCATCCGATTTCTATGTGCTTTGTGGACCTATAGAAAGCCTATGAGCGGATCCCGCGCAACAATCTATGGACATGTTTGCGGACATACAAGATCGATGGCCAGTTGTTACGGACCATCCAATCACTATAGCTGATGGTAGGTACTGCGTTGACGTCAAGATTCAAGAAGAGCAGTGTGGCTTCCGGCCCGGTCAAAGCACCTCTGACCATATATTTG